ATGCGTCTGGATCACGCGCTCATGTGTTTTGTCTCAATTTCGGAATGTGCATGATCAATCATAGTTATTTATTATAAAAGGGTTGGTACTTATGAGTGGAATTGGCCTGCTCACGAAAAAGGCTATTTGACATCAAAGCTGGGTTCGACAAATGTCGTCATTACCTTTATGGCCATCCGTTTGACATTTTTACTGACAATGGCGCCTGTTTCTGGCTTCTACATCACCCTAACGTCTCTACCAAGCAAACTCGATATCTAACGACTTTTGCTCAGTAGCCGCTTACTATCCACCACATCACCGGTGCTTCAAAAACGTAGTCGCTGATGCACTCTCGCTGGCCCCGAAGCATCTGTCGCACATCATATTATATAACACGTGCAATATTGGTTGCCAGCAACGTGTTGTGCTCTAACGACAATGTCTTGGTGCCAAATACCCCGGGAAGATTTCGCGGCCATGCAATTTTCCGCCTCACCGACGGCGTCATATGTCGAGTTGTCACCTGAATTTCGTAAACTTCTTCGACTAGGCTACGCGAGGGATGTTGAGTTTATAGAAGCATGGAAAGATGCGGAAGCGAGTTCATAGTTTGCCAAACAAGACGAGTTAGTATTCTTGCGTTCAGCAAGTAGGCTTACATGGCTTTGTGTATCGAACAACAACCGCTTGCGAACTCATGTGATATCCTAATAAATAACTCGCCTATCGCTACTCATCCTCGCAATCGCTGAATATTCTTGCGTGTTGCTCAATAGTATTATTGGAACTAATTACCGAAAGACATAAAGTAGTATGTCAAAACATGCGAGAAGTGTGCACGCTGGAAGCATGATGATCAGCGTATAACCAGATTACTTATGCCTATTCCAAAACCCGATGTCTGTTGGCAAGTAGTGTCACTGGAATTTATCACAGAACTATCAAAATCCACTGGTTTCGATGCCATTTTGACGGGCATCGATAAATTATCGAAACGAACAAAGTACGCAGCTGTGCATGCCAAAGACGATGTACGTGCAACGGCTCAAGCTTTTTTGATGCCTTAGTTCGCCACCATGGTCCACCCGAAGTTATCATCAGTGACAGAGAGAAGACGTTTACCTCCACATATTGGAAGTCGCTTATGACAAACATGGGAGTACGCCTAAGTATGAAAGATGCTCATCGCGCTCAAGCTGATGGACAAATTGAGTGACAAAATTTAGGCGTAGAAGATGCGCTTCGATGCATGATACCATATCATGGCACAGATTGGATAGAGCACTTGAGAAATATCGAATATGCATATGCTACGCTCCTAAGCGCATCCACGGGATGCTCTCCTTTCGATTTTTATTAGGGAAGGAAAGAGCGCTCTCCATGGCAAAAATTGATCGAGGCAAGTGGTTCCAGAAAGCAGATAGATGTTCAAGCGGTAAAGTTTGCCAAAGTACGAAACAAAATCATTGATCAGGCTCGTGTGTATCTTCATAAACCCCAAGCGACGCAAAAGCATAACGAAGACCGAAAACGACGAATGAATTAAGTCGAATTTCAAGTTAAAGACTTAGTGATGCTTGACATGCGCAGAATCCCTATTAAGTATGTCGTCAAAGATATGGAAAGAAAAAGAGCAACATTTGCGGCAAAAGAAAGTGGGACTATGCGAGATACTTAACTTGATAAATCTAATTGTGGCGAGACTGACCTACCTCAAAGTATAGAAAGGGTTAATCCAATTTTTAAAGTCGATGTGCGGTCAAAATACGATCTAACTCACGAAAGAGTTTTCAGTCGCCCTATACAAAAAGCGTCCAAATTTGTGGATGACGACACAGCAGATAACCTACAAATTATCAACGCCTACCAAAGAAAAGCCAACTCAGTCGCCAACCACACTGGATCGTTCTATGGGATAGTGAAGCCAAAGAAGACGCAAGTCGGTAAAAAGAGAAGAACATTCGACATGTCTCGTATTGGAAGGATCTCGTCGCTGGCTATATTCAGAGTCAACGAGAGACAAAATAGATGAAGATGTCCGGACCACTCAGTTCAGACTGATTGAGGACCATTCATTTGTATAAGTTCACAGTTCCTATGCCATACTAAAATTGGCAGATATCGTTTGTACAACAATATGGATGATGTACACTTTAGTCTTAAACATGTAATATGCGATTCCATTTTCAGGTGAGTTACACAAAACAAAATCTAATGGTTAGAAAGGCCTAATATACATTTAATTTCAAACTTTTCTCCATACTTATACTGAGAAAAATGTGTGTCAAAGTTGAAGAGCCAAAGCTGTGAGAGCCTTTGGGTTTTGTTATGTCTGTAGACGATTTTTTCTGCACGATGTAAAAGAGGTAGTGAAGAGTCGGTGAGATAACGATGTGAGTGACGTGTGAATATATTGGCTACCCTTCGTATAGCGCCAAACCGAGTAAGCAACTGCAACAGGTAGCGAAGGAAGAGCAGTATGTATTTCATTTTTCTTCACAACCGCCCCAGTATGTCTCAACAATGACAACCGATCGAACGCTTTCACTCAGCCAACAAAAATGTGTATCCTCAGCTCATTGACGCGTGTCTATCGCCCAACACAGCTTATCCGGCTCTCATAACCATCGACTGGATATCGGTCAGTAGTCATTGACGAATCTAGAAGCAGTGTTATAAAATGCTGCAAAATGCGAGTAGTGGGTCGGCTGATCAAAACCATGCAGCGGGCCCGAATTTGCTCCGCCTGGATCCAGTAGGACAGCGTTGGTGTCGACGCCACGGCTATATAGAGTAGAAAAGAAGCTGAATAGTGCAGTAAAGCTGCTGTAGCTGGTGCAGGTAGGTTCATGAGCGACGAGGCGCCGAAGCTACTTTGTGATAAGGCCCATATGAGTATGATAAAGCATCCGAGTCCCCAAGTCTTCAGACCTTCGCCACTAGACCGTCCAGATGAGAATATATATACATATATAGATAAGTAAGCCATGTATGGTATTGTGCTCTCTCGGGAACAAAAGTCATATCAAAAGTCATATATAACCAAGCCATCTATTGTGCTCGACGTGGACAAAAGTCATAAGCTCGTCAAAGTCAAGAAATCGGTCACAAAAAACATACTTGGTTTGCAACACTTCTCGTCTGAGGTATTATCTCGATGAAGTCCATTACAAGTGCTAAAATGCGTCACGAACGCTAGGTGTCGGCACTTCTTAAAACATAGTGGTGGGAAGACTTTGAGCGTTGACAAATCAGTGAGCGCCCACGCTTCATATTAAGGTGACCGTCATGTTTCGAGAAGTCGACAGGTTTGTACCACATGCAGCTGTCGGAGCGCTGCAAAAGGAAGCCTCTGGGGTCCCATGTATGGTGCTTACTCGAGTGTTAACGAGCTAGCCAAAGTTCTATGGACCATTCGCTTTCCCGCTCTCTCCTGCCCCACATACATCGTCTACTTCGACAGACAGGACCTTCGCTGACGCTGACACAACACCCCACGTAAGACACACAAAAGGCATCTATTAGAGTTGGGTTGAGTAGGGTCCTGGTCTGATGTCAAGAATATAAACCATGCCGGCATGCGATTAGCTCGAAACATTCGCAACCGCTGTGCACATACAGGCTACGCCAGTAGAGCAGGGCAAGCGATTGCGTTGTTCCGGAGCTTGTTGCTATCGAAAGATGTCACTGCGAGGAGGTGGTCAGGCCAGATGAAAACATCATTGGAGACGTCAGTAGCAGCTGCGAACGTGGCGGCTATAGATTGATTTTCTTTCGCCACAAAGAGAGTGAGACAACTTTTTGCAGTGCTCTCCCGTCAAGCGATGGGTATTATGGGTGTGTGCGCCTCTTGCACATCAGCTTCGCAGCGCGATTGCCCGATACATCCAGAGCTCATGGGCCCTATCGCGTCCGGCTTTCACACACATGGCTACCACTGCGATTCGCTAATAGTGCCATCGGGGAAACGCTTTTTTGTACAAAGTGCATGCCTTCAACCACTTTTGCTCACTTAAACCGTACTCGAGCCGGACCAACTGCGTGTCGGAGAGCTTGAGGTTGCGTGCACAGCAAAGTAACGCAACCATGTGACCTGCAGTTGCGCCACGATCCATACTGACGGTGGTCGTGTCGTACGTTTGGCAGTACACCGTCTCTTTAATGCTCACAGTCCTTTTGCTATGTCAGTCGTTTAGTGGTCATTCGTCGCCGTCGGATTTTGACGAGCGAGGTCCGCAGTCGCTGACACGACACCAACAGGCGTCGTGTGCCAACGCGTCTTCGCTGCTCAGCTCATCACCATCAACAGGGCACATATCTGCTTTTGTCACCACTGCGTACCCTAGTCAAGCAAGACGTATTTTTTGCCAGATTGGTTTGCTGTCGAACGTTCAGTCGAATGTGCAGTCGCTCTATGCAAAGTCGAGACGACACCTGAGTGATGGGTGTGATGGTGGGACATGCTGAATAGCAATTGCACGAGCCGACTCGAATGTCAGTCTCTCGATACCAATTGTTCACGAAGGCACAAAGTCGTCAACTTTTGAAACCGGAACAGGCTGTCCGACATCGAAGGTGTCTCGCCTGTTTGAACTGCTTACACATGTTGAGACTGCGCTACGAGAATGGATCTATAGAAGACCAGCTACGGCCTAGAAGACACTGTCGCGCAGACACTTCTTTCACAACATTCTTGCTCAATCACCAGAAGGAAGTAGCTCCACGCACGCAAATACCGCACGGATCTTTTCGCTGGCTTTATCCTCTTATGATCTTGTTTACTCCTGCTCGAAAATGATGCCACGACCAGATTGTCCACTTAGCAACTACACGCGACATTCCGGTCTGACGGCCGTTAAAGTTCGTCTGCCGGCGAGCACTTCTTTTCGTCATGAAGCAAAATATGCATGCATTTGAAGTCGCCCCGCTTCCTTCATTTTTCACCTTGCGCGCTCTTGTCTCCGCCTCCTTCTGGCTGTCTTCGAACTTCGACTATGAGGATCTCCAGCCTCTCTGCTATGCATGTAAGCGTTGGGCTCCAAGTGTGTCCTGGTCCCGCTTTGTGCCTCCCTGGATCAGAAGCCGTGGCATCCGGAGCTCATGCATCCGAGTGTGAGACGGATGAGAGACTGCTGAGGGCCGAGGGTAAAAAGCAAGAAGAGCGGACAATTCCCACCGAAGACATGGCTGCCGAGGTAGTCAATGGCGCGACACACCTAATCAGCGATGCCGGCCTCATTCCGGCCAATGTGCGCGGCGTTTCTGCGGCGTTGTCCAAGTCAAGAAAGACGAAGCCGTTCCTTCAGACGCGCGCCGTTTCCAGTAAGTTTTCGACCAAGTCACGAAAGATGAAGTCGGCCACAATCAAACTGCTTAACAAGTTCAAGAAGGACACTCGCAAACTTCGAGAGCTCTTGAATGGCGGACGAGACGTCCCACGCAAGCTCCTCGGCAACATACACACAACTGCTGTCGGGTACATCTCACGTCTCCGTTTTCGCTCAACGCCATATCATTTGTCCACGGCGGCGCAGCTTGAACTGGATGTTGCGAAGGTTCGCAATGCGATTGATATCGTGGGCGAGACCGATTTTGCGCTTATGCTTTGGACGGCTAAGTATTCGTCCAGAGTAAAGAAATTGGCTTTGCGGATCGAGCGGGCGCAGCACATCAAGTGGCTCAGAGATTACGGAACTCCTGAGGCCGTCAAAGCGAAGCTCCAAAAGGGTTTCAACGATGACAAACTCGCCAAAATCTTAGTCGAAACCTATGAATCTTTTTATAGGGAGTTAGGTTTGTAGAACTCATGGTACTGCGTAGTCATGGCGAATAAAGACGAAGGAGGCATTTCTCTTTGCTTGTGCATACATGAAGCAGTAGTCGCTTGCTCTCAGTCTTCGCTGTGTGTCCTCCTCTTTCTACCTGATGTGTATGGAACATTGGTCGAGCTAATGGGCACCAGCAGCAAATAGAGTCAATCGACCGCCATTGCAAGCTCGATAGGCAGAATACTCTGCAGTGTCGTCTTCCAAGCATCTGGTAGAATTCATTCATGTAGGTGTGGCGGTGTGACTTACTGGCATGATGAAAGTCGTCAGCACCCGCATAGGCTCTGTAACGGGGCACCGGACGTTTATATTGACACAGTGAAAGCTACTGACACTGACCACGGTGTAAGTAGGTGCAGCAAAATCTCGAGCACACTGTACGTGGAAAGATAGTGACCCGAAAAAATACGTAGTATGTGAAAAGTAGAATTGTAATACCGATAGTCAAGCTCAAAGAAGTATCTGTGATATCATTGTAAACCGTAATAACTACAATTTTCCCAATATAGTTCCCTGCTCACCACCGATTGCGCAGGTCTAGCAGCGATTGGTAATTTAGTTGAAGGATATAATGACATGGGTCAAGCAATAGGTGGAGCAGTGCTGATGATATCCTAAGAAAGAATATCCCTTCAATATTTTCACAGCAAGGTTAATATTTGGAGAGCATTATCAGTTCAGATTATATTTTAATTGACCTAATTTTGGTATCAACGACATGGAACGAGTTCAACCCGTTGTATATGAAGTATCATCTGTTCGGGCTGAAGGGTTGAGTACGCTGCATTGATGCCGATTGTTGACACATGTATCGCAGATTGACTCGGCAGCTGGAGCCAGCAACGAGCAGATGTTGATGTAAAAACACTGACACAATTGTTCCCGTGCGATCATATCGAGATTCTAGTGATGCGATTGCAGTGCCACGATGCGTGATCGCCATCCGAACACAGTCTAACACTCAATCTTTACATCGTGCATCTGTACGATCGGCATCACTTTCTCTTTTATGGCACATAGACTCCAAAAGATTAGGTCAACCTCATTCTCAGAGCGTGTCTAGAAATGTGTTCGTGTCAGAAAACAAAACACTATATTGGCAGCACCATGACACTAGATTCGTGAGCTTTCAACTTTTCTTCTCGCACAAGATTGCATGTACTTGTCGCGACCATGGGGTGTAGCCCGTTCGGCATTTGATGCATATTCCTTGAAAAATTGTGGAGGCCACATTTCTTATCTCTCGACGACCAAAAGCGCGTCTTTATTACGTCGACTGGATGCACACGTGGCTCTCCTTTTTTCACTGATCCTCCACTTGCAATCGTAACAGCAGCCGTCATGTCTATCCTATAAGCAGACGTGATGTGCACATACGCTTGTGTTGCAATTAATCGATCCGAAAGGATCCCCACCTGACGCGCTTTTCCTCGACAGTCAATGACATATGTAGCGCACCGAACTGCATCTCACTCGTCCTCCGTATCTACGTTGTGAGTGTAGTGCACTGGCAGTCAGCGATTGCTGATCAATCGTACAGCTTTACGTCGTATCAGTGCATTTTACATAAACGTTTGATGTCACGTCCATGTCCATTTCCATCCATAAATCTCGCTCGTTCCACCACACTGTGCCGAGTCTATCTGACTCTTGCATACGACCACGGACTGAAAGACAGACGATATAAATTGGGAACCGCACGTCATTACCTGGGACACAGCAGCACGCTTCCTTGACATGACCAACCGTATTATTTGCCCAAAGGGTCTGATCGGTCAACGGTGATTGATATTTGTACCAAGCGGGTGGCAGCGACCGATAGTGTCAGCTGTTAGCCACTCGTTCCTCGACAACAAAGCAACGGACCAAGCAGACATGTCAAAGAATTGCAAACAAAGCATGTCCGTCACTCGCTCACTATGCACTATTACCTCCTCTACTTGATGTACCGGGACATCTAGCGATCTTGACAGCTCGCTGCAAGGAATTGCCGCGGCTGCCCAATCTCGAGCAAAGAAAGGTTGCCTCAAATGTCGTGTGCTTTAGCTGTCGACAACATACCGAATTCGACGTATCTGCAAACTTGCTCTAGATTTCTGTGACCAAGGAATGTATTAAAAGGAGACCGGTGTCACTGCGGAAAATCTCTCCGTAGACAAACTGGTCGGTATTGCGGTACAACTCGCTGCAACTCCGACTCCTTTTGGTGTGTTCGAACATGCTCAAGTGGAACACTTGCATGGTGTAGTTTGATTCCACAACGTTCGATGGCCTCACGCCGTCGTATATTCGAGACGGAGCACACCACATTCCACCACGAGCGGCCCGTCAAGCGCTTTGAGGTTTTCACGCCACTTTATCGCATGCCGTACAGATGCCCATGTTTCATGCCACACTCCATGCATCGTTTGTGAGCCGAACAGTGTCATTGCCCAAAATGTAAGGAATTGGCTTCAGAGGTGTAGCAAAGATGTGTGGCAATCACTAGAATTGCATCCCGATCAAGAACGATCTGTTTGGATGATCTCAATCGCGCAGCTGGGCTCCTGAAGCAGTCTCGGAACGCAAGAAAGCATCGACGGCCATTTCTACGACATCATGGGCTTTGTGGTGGCAATCAACCGGGAAACGATGTGACGTCGAAAGCAGCGATGTCAATCCCCAGGTAGTCACTCCGCACATCATGCTTTGGGGCTTGCAATGACACACCATAAGGTACCGATCGTCTGTCATTGACACCCAAATCGACCACTACAACGTCGCCCTCGATGTTCCGACTTTTTTCCCTTTCGTTTCTCATAAATGCCGACAGACACACTCTTGAAGTTCGTTCGATCGCATACGTGCAGCGAAACAACACACGAACGGCGGCCATCGCATCGGCAATGTCGAAGGCATCACACGTCAACCCGTATGCGCGAAACTATGCGCATGGTGTAGAAAAATGGAAAGCAAGTCTTGCAGAAGCGAACATAGTATCATGCAATCAAGAATGAGCAACACTACTTCGATCAACCCTAGAAAGTTGTTTCAATGAATGGCGGCACAGTTGCGTGAGTGGGGCAGCAGAGTTGCTCGTGCACAGTCGCGTAGTTGACATCAATGCTTTGCTGCTGATCTGACACAGTGGCTAGTTCCATGTACAAATTGTTGTTGCACTCAATCACATGCTCTTGTGTCGACGACCTAATTGTCCCTCTAATCGTCACTAGAGAAATAGAGTGATGCATGGTGGCGTTGGCACGAAATCAAGCTGTGTGGGATGAAAGCAGCACGGTCGCCAGCAATATGTCAATCGGAGCCTAGCCTTGCATTCACCAGGACACGTGCAATGCCTTGTAGCACGAACCGTCATGCTCGCGAGGACAGAGATCGTCGAGAGTTGTCCACCACGGTATAACCTCGGATTCCAATCATGACTTCCTTAGTTGCAGAGCGCTGTCAATGTCGTGCACTTATTGAACAGGATTACTCGTAACAACAGAGAAGTAGATTGTGGGGCTGAAAGACGACGAGCTGCAGGATCTATCCTCCCCACGAGCAACAACAATTCTTGCGGTCGAACGAGGTCTTTGTTTCGATCAAGTTGATGTTCCAGGCAGAGATAAAGCGCTGGTCGTCTCGACCTGCTTTACGACCTTTTCCAGGTAGGCAACGAACGTCCAGCATCTTTCCACATATGCATCCATCATCATTCGATCTACTAGGCCTTCTTTTCTGCTCGTCTTCCCCGCGTCGTGCAGTGTCTGAGCTGGGCGAGCGGGGCCCTGTGTTGCCACACATTTTCGGTGATGTTACCAGTGCAGCAACTATGGCTTGCTTCACCCGTAGTCACGCACCGTATACACCGTAATCCGACGTACAATACGTATACCTCCGTACGAAGAAAAGCGAGCGCAGACGCCAACGAATGTCGACCGAATGTGAGCTCGTCACCGGCACAATCCGTTGTCCGTCCGAGCCACGTAAAATAGCGTGCACCACACCACAACCACACCACCACCAACTGACCGTCTCGCTCGGCTTCGTGGCAGTTACAGTACGTACGTGTAGCATGACGCGCCCCTCGTCGTCGTCGGCGTCGTCGTCCTCGTGGCGGGCGGCGCTCAAGGGGCTCGACGCGTACCCCAAGACGATCGAGGAGTTCAAGGTCCGCACGCTGCAGGGCGGCCTCTTCTCCCTCGCTGCCGTCGCGTGCGTCTCGCTTTTGCTCGTGTCGGAGCTGCGCTTCTACTTCAGCACCGACACAGTGGACAAAATGGTCGTGGACGGCGGCCGCAACCACCCGATGGCCATCCACTTTGACGTGGAGTTTCCGTCGATGCCGTGCGCGATCGTCGCGCTCGAGTCTGCGGACATGGCGGGCAGCGTGCACCACGACATTGAGCACGACGTGGAGAAGACGAGGCTGGACCGACAGGGACTGGCGCTGGCCGAGGGCGTGCGTGGCGCTATTGGTGGGGCGCTGACCAACAGCACGGACCTGCACGAAGAAGCGGCCAAGTGAGTAGTGGGGCGCGTGTGTGGAGGGGACGCAATGTTTGGTGTCGAGGGCCACGGCACAAGCACGGGAGGCACTGACGGATGCTGTGCACGTGTGACAGACCTGCTTGTGGGAGCTGCTACGCTGCTGGAGGACCAGGACAGGTAGGAGACATTGCGACATTGCGACAGTGCGACAGTGGTGGTGGTAGTTCTTTTGTTTTCGAACGGGCAATTGTTGTTGTTGTTGTTGTTGTTGGGGCCTAACGCTGTGTGGTGACGTGGGGTTGGTCGGGTGCTAGTGCTGCGACACGTGTGCAGCAGTTGAGGCGGCATATGCCCGCAAGGGCTGGTTGATGCCGAGTCTTCACACGATCTCACAGTGTCAAGAGGCGGAGGTGGAAAAGGTGCTACGCGGAGAAGTCGACGAAGGGTGCCGGATCAAGGGCACACTTGTTGTCTCCAAGGTCAGTCGGAGACTGGTTGAATGATGATAAGGATGGGTGGATGCCGCGGGCTCACCATTTGTTCGTGTTTTGATGGGTCGTGTCCGCTGTGCAGGTCGCAGGCAGAATGTACTTTGCTCCGTCCAAGATTTTTCGCTCGGGGTACTTGTCGTCGCAGGATCTTGTTGACGCCACGTTCAAAGTCTTTGATACGTCGCACATCATTCACTCGCTGTCTTTCGGCGAAGCGTATCCGGTAAGAAGACAGTGATCGGTCGATCTGCGTGGCGTGTGACGATGTTGACCCTTGTGCGAACTGCCAACATGCGTTGCGTTTGTGCAATCAGGACATGAAAAATCCGTTGGACAACCGCCGGAAGAATATCTCCGAGAAGTCGGAACGTGGCTCGTTCCAGTACTTTTTGAAGGTAAGCGATATGAAGCGATGGTCGCTCTGTGCCTGTAGTCGTCACGTGAGAAGCGCCACAATTGACACGACGATGATTTTGATGTTACCAGGTGGTGCCCACGGAGTACACGTTTTTGTCGGCAAGCCGCATCATCACGAACCAGTTTTCCGTCACGGAGCATTTTCACCAGCTTACGTCTACAAGCGACAAGGGTCTGCCGAGTACGTCCATGTAGTAGCAAACGTGAACATATATGTCACTCGTGTCGTCGATGCTGGACTTAAACTGACCGATCGTGTCGTGCAAATGTAGTGGTTTCGTTCAGCTACACGTTTTCGCCAATCATGTTTCGCATCGAGCAGTACCGTGTGGGCCTCCTCCAGTTCCTCACCAGCGTCTGCGCGATTGTGGGAGGCGTGTTTACGGTGCGTCCTTGCGACGTGGATGTGCTCTGACCGTGTTGACAACGCCCTGACGTCAGTGCGCTGCCCGTGTGCGTGCGTTATTTGATTGCAGATTCTCGGCATCATGGACTCGCTGGCGTTTCGCCTTTCGAACAGAACGAGCAGCACGCCGCTGCTCTGAGTAAGCAGTCGGTGGCAATCGTAACCCTGCGCAAGTCTGTCTTGTGTCTCCGTCGTTCCGTCTTGCGAGGTGAGAGATGATGCTCTGTTTCGATCCCGTAGACACGCAACACATTTCTCGACGGCGTGCAAACATGTAAGTCAAAGTGGGACGTCTCAGCTGCTCGTTCACTCGCCTGTGTGTCGTTATCTGGCTGACCATTGAGCTTTTTTGTGTGCGAAGGTCATCGAACGGGTCACCTGAGTTAGTGCATCGATACATTGGAGTTGCTAGTCAGCTTCTCGAGCCAGACGGCAGGAGGATAATGGGCCACTTGGCAGCTGCAATCAGCACAACTGCGACGTGAATGAATGTGACCTTATCACTTGCCCAAATGCACGCCTTGTACAAAGTTGAACCATTGTGTATATTGCTTGCGGGGCCTGATGGCTTCTTTTCAGGAAAAGGTTGCTGGCATTGTCGACCAAAAATGCGATTTTCTGCAAGAGCTGAGAAGCAGACGGCTTCTGCACGTAGTGCAGGATACCGCAAGCGTCAGTGGCTTTCGCGCAGACAAAAACCCGTTTTCGTCTGCTTTTTTCTCATCTCTTGAGTCAGTAGGTTTGAGAAACGCCCCTCCACACACGCCGCAACAAAACAAATCGTCAACTTCCCTGCGCACCCACCCTCTTTTGTAACCCTCTCGCAACCATCGTCCACAGCAGCAGCTGGTGCAACCTTCGTGCCACCTGTTCGTCGCCCCCTGACTGATTCCATCACTCACTCGATCGCTTGATCGATCCACCAATCGCGTCGTCTGTTGCTCTCCTAAGTGCGCTTTTGCCCCATCCCGACCACGCAAGTCATGGGAAGCGCCTACGAGGCGCTCGCCGTCGCGCAGAGCGCGCAGCTGTACCTGCTCGTGGGACTGCTCGGCCTCGTCGTGTACCTGCTCCTCGTGCTGACGTTCTTCTTCGTGCCGCACATCAAGACGCAGCACCCGGCCGCGGACCTCGTCGTGTGGCACGCGACCTGCGGCTTCATGACGTCCGGCGGCTTTGTCGCTGGCTTTGTCCTGCAGCGCTACGACGGCGCACGGGCGGACGAGCAGCTGCTGCACTGGCAGTGTGCGTTTCTCGCCCCTTTCCACCAGTTCTTCTTCCTCGCGGGCACGTGTTGGTACCTCATGCTGACGCTGGACCTGCTCGTGGCGCTTGTGAACCCCTGGATGGGCTACCGCTGCAAGTCGTGGACGTACCACACCATGTACGACACACACGCACCCAAAATATTGGGACAGTGAAGCAGTGCGACGGGTCGAGTCGCAGCCGTCTACAGGCTGTTTAGCCAGCGGACGACTGCTGCTGCTGCTGCTACTTTGTTGTAGTCGATATGGGGGGGACTGATGGAACTTTACTATTGTCTTTGTGTGTGTGGGTGTGTGTGTGATTGTGTGGCTGCTGCAGTGTGTGGAGCGTGAGTGCTGTCTCGGCGCTGGTGCTGCATCAGCTCGAGCTCTTTGGTCTTTCGTCACTCAATGTGTGCTGGATCAAGCGCACAGAGGACCCGACTCGGATCAATACGGCCAATTGGGTCTTTCTGTTTATGGCCGTAGGTGCCACGTGCTGCTTGTCACTTGCCGTGCTACTGTTTGCAAGCTTCCGCTTTGTGAGGCGACAATTGGATGTCACGTACCGTGCCAAGCGACGCAACTTGATCCAGTACTACCGCTATCTCCTGGTATTTGCAGGACACTGGGCGGCGTGTGGTGCGCTGTATTACGCGGCATATCGCCAGCACTTTGAGGGCAAGATGGCGAAACACTGTGAACTCGCGTTTGCACTGGTCTTTGGGTCGTACCCTGTGCTGCTGCTAGTCGTTTGGGTGCTCAATACGGAGCTGTATCAAAACTTCTCGAGTGAAAACAACCTCTCTCAGTCAGAGCGAGGTGCTGGAAACTTGACGAGTACAGAGCATTTCAGTGCTGCTCTGCGAAAAGATCTGATGCGCTACACGACGGCAGGTATTCGGTGCAGCATCGGTGAGTCACCGGTGGATAGCTTACGCTCTCCGCTGCTCAGTCTGTCGCGGGACCGCTTTGGATCACTGGACCGCACTGCTGCGTTGACCTTTTTGCAAACGGAAGAGGGCGGAACGGCTGGGTTGTACCACGAGAAAAAGCGGCTTGCGACGACGGTGTATAATGGCGAGTATCGGTACTACGAGAAGCTGGGGTTCACTGACTACGCACCGAAAGTGTTTCAGAACATTCGCGAGATCTGCGGTATTGATAACGAAATGTACGAGCAATCGTTTGCAGACACGTTGCTGGAGCGCGCGTCGGAAGGCAAGTCGGGGATGCTGTTCTACTTCACTAGTGACCGCCAGTACTTGGTCAAGACGATGACGAAGAAAGAGCACTCTTTTCTGCTGCAAGTGCTTCCACTGTTCCATCAGTATATTCTCAAGCAGCCGAACTCGCTCTTGTGCCGATTTCTTGGATGCCATTCGATGCAACTTCCTGTTGGCTGGAACAAGATGTTTTTTGTTGTAATGGAAAATATATTTCCTGACGGACCAGTTGACGAACGCTACGATCTGAAGGGGATTTTTCACCAGTCCAGCTTTCGATATCAAGAAGTTGTCCTGACACCCGTGTCAAGTGAGTGGAGCCGGAGTGGCAGAGAAGAAGTAGACGTCGTGCGCTTGTTTGAAGACGACTCTGCAGCGTTGAGCGAGACCCAAAGCGTGGGCAGTGAATCGGGACACGTTACCGAGAAGCAGCCGCTACTACGTCGCGGTCGCTCGCGCCCTTCCCTTCGATATGATAACGACTTCGTAACACGCCGGGCTTCACTTCGTGTGAATCCCACAACTCGTGCAAATTTACTCGCGCAGGTGACCAGTGACTGCGGATTCCTCCAAGAGCTGGGAATCATGGACTACAGTTGCCTCCTCGGCATCCGAAACTACAATCATCGCATTGAGTCCGAGGTGCTGGACAATTTAGCGCACAATGCCGTTGTTTCAGCGGATCAGTCCACCGTGTATTATCTTGGGTTCGTAGACATCTTGCAACATTACAACATTGGATGGAAGCTACAACACTGCTTTCTAGCTGCGCTGATGGACAAGCATCAAATTACGGCGCTCCCCCCTGCAGAGTATGCGCTGCGTTTTTTGAACTTCATCCACGAGTACCTACTGCGAGATCCCGAAGCATCCCAGGTTCGCTCGTACGGAAGCGTGGAGTACTCGCCCTCTAGCTTCGTTCGCCGGGACCAGCTATGAATAGAGATGTGGAGCGTCTCATTTGCCATCAGTATTGAGAGAGCCAAGTCGACGTGGTGGCAGCTCGTCTATCACGGCTCGTCTGTGTCACCGAGGAAGCGGTAGGATTGATGGCAAAGCGTCTTGCTAGAAAGTAACGCGCTCCAGCTCGACGGTCAACTTTGACGCAAACTCGGGCGATAGATACTGTATCCGGAACGTGCCGTTTATGTCGTGGGTTATGTACGGCATGATGATTGTCAGCGAGTTTCTCAATATCTGTTTGGGACTGCTGTTCCACTTTAGTATGTGACGTCCGATTCGTCGTGGTGCGCGGTAAATGAACGACTTCGAGCCGCCTGTTCCCACGAACAGCGGCCGGCGGTCGACATCTTCGTGTGTCACTACGTGGAATTGGTCACGGATTCGATGCAGACACTGAAGGACTGTCTCTCGTATGCGCCCGAGCTCCTCCTTCACATCTTTGTGATGGATGAGGGTCACACTAAGTATGTGTGGGACGCAAACAACCGCTTCAAGGTGGCGGTGGACACCAAGGTAATTGAGATTTGTGGTGACCTGCGCGGCGATCTTACGCTTCTCATGCACGAGCGTGTGGTGGAGCCTGTGCAAGACGACCAAAGCTTGAAGACGTGGCGTTGCCAGCACAGCTCTGTCCGTGAACTCCGCAAAGAGGGCGGTAAGAGCGTGCAGCGTCGTGATTGTGCTGTTGGCTCGCTTTCGGACGACTATCCCGCGTGTGGCTTTCATTCGACGAATGAAGCCCGAGACGCGCCACTCGAAGGCTGGTAGCATGAACAATCGCTTGTTCATCGATGGTTCTAACGGCAAGTATTTGCTGATTTTGGATTACGACATGAAGCCGCATCCGACGTTTTTGCTTGCGGTGCTGCCGTTCTCTGTCTCGGAAGGCGAGGCGGCTGTCGACGGTGGAGGACGTCAGTACAGCGACGATATTTCGTGGTATTAGGTGTCGTACGTGCAGACTCCTGCAGACACCTCTGTACTTTGAGGACACGCCCCAGTTAACGATTACGAATGATCCGTGCGGGCAGAGGAATATCATTCTCTTTGACGCTGTGCAGTGTGGCCGTGATAATTTCGACTCGGCAAGTTTTGCCGGTACGAACGCTGTGTTCCGTCGCCAAGCCTTCGACTCGATTTATGGTATTCAGTACGGTACTCAGACTGAAGATGCGTTTACGGGAACGTGCTCCACTTCTAGTTGGGACTTGGTGTACTTCCGCAAGGATTTCGAGGGCGATGCCAAGGGCCGTATTCGATTGTGCGGAGGTGCTGTTCCTGAAACAGTGGCTGCTGCTGTGGGTCAGAAGAAAAGTCGGGCAAAGGGTGCTGTGCAGATTCTGCTGATGATAAAATGAGCGCGAAGCCGACCCGGACTGGTGTCCGCCGCGCGTGCCTGCCCCGGACCCGAAGCTGTCTTACCTTCCCGTGCAAGATGCACTTTTGCGACTCGGTGCTGTACCCGTTTGGTTCGATTCCTGCCCCGTGTTACGTGGCGATCGCCGTCTGCTACTTGTGCACGGGAGACGCTCCGATCTACGCTCGTCTAACGAAGTTCCTATACTCTTTCTTGCCCGTGACGTTCTGCTGTTGGGTGCTGAATCTGCTGCCAACCGCGCAGTCGACAACAACGACGTGTGGCGTGCGCAGTAGGCAGGCATGGCTTTCGTTGTCGTTTATTACGATGCTGGCAGTTTTTGAGGCCTTCCAGGCGCGCGTGACGGGGAAGGACAAGTCATGGGCAAACACGGGCGCTGGCCAGAAGACGTCGTGGACGGAAATTCCGAACGTGCTCTTTACTGGGGCTGGGACCACACTGCTTCCACCTGTACGGCGAACGTGTTTGGCTTGTTGCTCGTGGTCTTCATTGTGGCTTCCTGCAGCTATGGCAAGTCTACTACGCGGGCAATCTCGAGGGGGCCCAAGGCATCGTAGCAGGCACGAATGACCCGGCGGCGACGCAGACCGGATCGTGTCGCGAAGGCATAGACGATGTTTGGCCAACGAAGGAGAAGGAGGCACAGGATGCGATGCATGCCGAGTGAAGGTGAGAAGTAGCGAGCCGACGACGCGCACACAAGTGCGCGCTGTCGTCGTCGTCGCTTTCTTTAGTGACTGAATTTTGCATGTATAAAATTGCTCTGGACAGAGCCGGAAGACGTGTCTTGTTTGGATACCCGTTGTTACCTGTAGTGGTGTCAGGTACACATGTCAGGAAGCGCGTAGGAAGGCCAGACGCTGATGTTCTAATCGATAGCGCGTCACTGCAATCGGCAACAGCTCGTTCTTCCGTCGTTATTGTCTTTTGTGAGCATCGGATGCCAAGAGGGTCTCCTGCTTGCTTAGCTTAGCTTTGTCGGAGTCGCCAAGTATCTGTGCGTCGTGCTGCTAAATGTGTTGTCGCAGCCTTGATGTGTCGTTGCAGTTTGCCACCGATGCCGAGTTGTCGATCTGTGTGAGGTGTGCACTGCTGTCCATCCTCTTGGGAAAACTTGTTTCTTGCCTGCACGTGGTAATGACGTCAAAGGGTACGTGATACCTCCTAGTACATCGAACATACGACCTTGGCCACCTCTGCTCGGCTGTCACTGGTATGACGTTCTACCGGACGTTACGCGTTGTAGTCTGCACTTGTGCTGATGATGTAGGAAGTAAAAGTATTATAGAGAGAGAGTGAACTGCTGCCGGTTGTTAACTCTACACAGCGTGCCTCTCACCATGTGCTGGTCCCATATGTCGTCCGGATATCGCTGTCTCACCCATCACCTCCTCTTGATGGTCCGACATGACGACCGTCTTCTCTCGTCCCACATGTCAAACTATCACGTCTTCGTCCCGCCTGTCAACATGTTAGCCAATCAGGTGAGGTCGCAGCGTACCTGTAACAGGTCTTGCAGTTGAACAGTAGAACTCCGATGACCTGACAGAAACAAAACTTTCTAACACAGTCGAGTGCATTTCTACGACGTTTTGTGTGGGGAACGAACGCCACAGCACAGCGTTCGTTTCTTTGTTTGTTTGTTTGTTTGTTTGTTGGCGAGCATGGGCTACTACACCGTGCAGCAATCCGTGAACACGAAAGAACATTCGCTCATGATTAGACGTTAACAAGTCAATTGTAATCGTAATGACACGCTTTATTTTGTCACTAACTTCTATCATAACTGCGTTTTCTTTTGTCTTTCATAGGGCTGCCGACACCTATGCGCTTAGTTCGGACCAAGCACAGCAGCAGCACGCGCGGCAAGCAATCTTAATGATGAAGAAGAGCAATGAGTCCTCATCAATCACTGCGAATGCACGCCACGTTCCAAAACTTCAACGAAGGGAATGCGATCCGGTAAACTATGGATCGCAAACAAATTCTCGGACAAACTCTGTTACCATGCCTTAACCACACCACGTTCAGAAACCTTCGGTGAGCGATAAACTTCGGGAGACACAACAGAGAGAAATGGGTCTCCAAAGCATCAAGCCCAAAACCTGCGTGTGATATCTCTGATAACATGTCTAGTTTAATACACGCCGCCCAGCGTTATGCGTCTTCACACGCGGCTTTTTCACTGCTGACGCCACCATCCATGGAGCACCAACCCCGGCAGTCGCAACAATGCGCGCACGGGTAGAAGCAATGCTTGCAGCAACACCAACACGCGCTCGAGCAGCAATACTAGGTAACCATGCGGCAGAGAACCAGCATAGCCTCAGCGCCCACACTCGCAGCAATATTCCTGGCACCTGCAAGAATACGAGCGCATACACCTTCGCTAGTTATTGTCCCCTTGCGTGGCGTCGTACTTGTCTTAAGCGCCGCCGCGAATAGCTTCCCATTCTTATCTTGTCTCTTTCGCTGCTCCGAAAGTTGCACAAGCGTCTTGTTCGCGCCCATCGCCTCCGTACTTCTACATTAAAAATCTTCCCGGCTGAAGCGTCAACAGCACCTCAAAATTACACTGGACCTTGAGCTGATCTTGTGTGACTTTTAGAAGCTGCTGCTTGAGTCGTGCACTTGAGGCATCAGCCGTTTCGGCGCGTTGCCGGAGCGCCAGTACTTCGTTTTACATCTCAAGCTGCGACTCGATTGCTGCGTCTCGCGCTTTATCGACTTTTTCAACAGGTATGCTCGCAGCGAACTGAGTCGCGTCAGCACAACGACTTGCTCTTGCACGTCGCTCGCGCGTTGCAGTGTATTGTATAAGCGCATGATTGCTTCGTAAGTGCTATGTGTGTTCTGAGTCGCTGTAGTGTTCATCGGGAATCGTAAAGCCGAATGGAAAATGACAAAGAAGCACGAGAAGCGGCGGCGAAGTTGTCACGGAAAATGACATGCATGAACGTTAAGCGAACAGGTCATGGAAAATGGACTACTTCTACTGTTAGAGAAGTGACCTGGGACGAGGCAGTACGCCAACTTGAAAATGGAATTGATGGCGCAAAAAGAAAGCGCACGAGTGGCGGAAGTTGGGACAAGATATTCATTTTAGTTAAATGAGACGATAAAGTCGACTAGACCAAAATATGTGATGGGTCGACCATATGGGGTGGTTTTTATTCGTGATAACGGTAATAGAATAGCGATGGTCAGTGGACAGAGACATTTCTGGACGGCTAGACAGAAAGGTTCATGCAACCAGCTATCGTTCCGCTGCATATATATTGCTGTGTCGATTGGCAAAGTGAGCACGTTTTGAGACTTGACAAAGCACAAGTTGAAATGATGCTATGACTCATGTGTACCTTCTCACGAACACTCTTCTTCGGCATTCTAAACTAAAGAGACGTTATTACAATGCTGCTATCTCTATCCCCTATGGCTTCGAGCTACTGCATAAAATATGTCACATGTACGAGTTAGATGACATCAGCATGCGACTTCGGTGGGCCGACAAGTTGCCATGTAGATGCTCGGAGCAGTGCCGCTGGTGTTTGCGAAGACGCACATGCCTCCAGGCTTTCTGCTTACTGGTATGACAGCATCGTCTGCGTAGTTTCCCAAATTGACCTTGCTGGACGATAATAGCCGGTGGCCCGTTGCAAATAAACTGTCAATGTATTCTCGAAGCAGGCTATGATCTGGAAGATTGGTGGAGGTGTCAGTCTTTGCGCGGCGATCGATGCAGACGAATGTGTTGTCGGCAACCTTGTCGATGTGTGCCATATCATTCAGTTTCGATGTGATCATCGAAACAGGTGGCTGTATAGCTGGTTCTGTTGTTGTGTGGACTATGTGAATGTCTGGTGGCTTGGAAGTAGAATGAATGCAAGATGGAATGAATCCAATAGAATTTGTATGAAGTTAAAGTGCCTTTTTATGACGTTTTGCAAGGGGTACGAATGCTGCAGCGCAGCGTTGTATTGTTTGTTTGTTCGAGCACGGGTCCGACGCTGTACGGCAATCGATGAGCACAGAAAGAGCTACCAAGCGGAATGACGTCATTTAGCGAGTAAACGGAGCATGTCAAAATCGATCGGTGGAAACGTGTTGACCCGAAGAACACGTAGCTTTGTGTGATGTAGTAATTAGTCAGATCTGTGTCAATTTAGTCTTAATGTAACAACACAACATTCGCCGAGCTCAGTCGGCGCAGTTGAGCTTGTACGTCGGGTCACTTACCTTCGCGGTCATCCTCTTCAGGTTCAGTTGTGACTCGCTTTGCAGGAACACCTCCAACCACTCACAATCCTTTCCAGAAGACTGCCTGAGCTTAGCATATTCCGTTCCTCTAATCCTGTGACCTCGTACCAATAGGTAGACGTCGGCGGTTTCACGCTTTTACAGGTCACCGGGCGCAGTATACGCCCTACTGAAAGCCTTACGGTGTTCTTGGTGAAAGAACCACCGGCTCGTCGCTTGACAAGTCTTTGGACAGTGCCGTCTATTGAGTCACTGGATCGCCGATCACGAGTCTTAAAGCGGTGCCGTCTATTCTGTCACCAACCCGTCGTGCGACGAGACTCGAAGCGGTTCCGTCTATTGAGTCTCCGGCTCGCCGTGCGACGATACTGACCTTTCAATGGAAGCGAGTAATGCCCGCCCCGGGCCGACTTAACTCTTAATGCTTCCAATCGAGATCTCTACAATCTATTCTCCCCGAGGCTTGACAGCAGGCATAATCCAGCCCAAGCAGGTACTTGCCTCGAAAGTGCACACGTGTCTTGGACTTGGAAAATTCTGCTCTGTACTGATTATTTATTATTCGAATCATGATTGCAAAAGGACGCTTATATGGTTCTCCTGCATCCCACCCGTCGTTCTATACTAATACCTAGTGGTATGCACTAGTCATCATCTTGCTCTCTCGTCAAGTCTTCCCTCTCCTATACTTAAACATAGTGGTATAGACTAGTCATCCACTTTCTCTCTCGTCGATTCTTCCCTCATCCTATACTTATACCTCGTGGTATGGACTTGTCATTATCTTGCTCTCTCGTCGAGTCTTCCCTCGTCTCTCGTCGAGTCTTGGCCCGTCGAGTTTTCATTCGCTGACTTCGATGATCTCCGGTTTCTCTCATCGGATTCGCCACAAATATAATCAAGTCAAAATGAGGGAATAACACGTTCGGCAATTCCCCAAACCACAACTGGTCCGGTCGCAATACGAGCCTAACTGGCGTGTTGTTGACCAGTATGTCTTTGTCTCTTCACGAATCGTCCAGCTTGAGCGGCTCCTCCCTCTTTCGCCGACCCATTATACGCAGTGAATCGTCGTGCTTGCTCTTTCGTCCGTAGCAGGTTTGACTTCCTTGCCTTCTGTGTTGAACCGTACCGTTCAGACTCAGTCACCGGATACGTCGCCCAGTACAGTTAATCTGCTTGCGTTATACTGAGCTAGTTTTTCCTTCTCTATCACTTCTAGCTGACCCCTTGTGATCCGTGGGGTTCTTATTCTCCTGCCTATCCAGACAAACTTTTCCTCCAGTAGTGTCGTCCTGCTTCCCGACTCCGACGACTTATTGCTCGATGACATTGATTCGTCGAGTTTGCCTGATCGACTCAAAGCCGCGGTGGGTCTGCATTGGTTGCAGCCTACTCACCAAGACCCTC